TCCTTTCTATGTTGTAAGGACCCACTAAGAAAGGATTTCTGGAAATTTCACCCCAATTCAGGGGTAAAATAATTGATGAACGGGTGGATGGGAGTTCGTTATTTTCTAAGTTTAAAAAGGCTCAAACTCTCTTAATTTCATAAAAAAATTAAAATTGTTTGAATTTGTTTTATGTAAACTCTAAAGTCATAAATCAACACACATAAAAGCAACAATCTCTGTTTTGTCAAATAGTAAGCAAATAAATTTAACAAAAACCAAACGCATACAAAATCTATGATATGCCTGTGCCGATCTACAACCACCCGTTTTCAAGGGATTGAGCCTTATGAGAAGAAAGGGCAAACAAACTCATGGCCACTCTTTTGCAATTCACAGATAGATACAATGGCATTATTAAATATACCACAACATTGTTTTGATGTGTGCCAGTATGTCCGTTATTAAGGATAAAAGGTAAACAGACAATGAATAGAAAACAAGATTAAGAAAAAAAATAAGAATAAAAGAGAAAATGAAGTGAAATTTTAAAAAAATAATAATAATAATAATAAAAAACACACAAGCCAACACCACATTTTTACTTAAGAAAGAAATAGCCTGCGCTAATTGCGACGATATATACATATATCTCGCGGACGATAGCTAGTAAGATATATACCTAGTTAAAAAAACTAAAGGTCGATTGTAGACGCTTTTTGTGGGGCTCCAATTCTTACAAGGTAGACACATTTCTTAAAAGAATAACTTTAAACAGAAGCATTCAAAGCTAATGTATGCGCGATATACTCGTATATTCTCCGTGTGGTGACGGATTAAAAAAACGGAATGTCACCACCCTCATTTATTCCGTGGGTGTCGTAACAGCCGACTAAGAAAGCAATCTACGCAGGACAACAGCACTGCAAAGAAAAGTAATATTTGAAACAAACCCTATACCAAGCCGTCTGGCCAGCGTGGTACAGTAGGCCAAAACCTTATTTATAAGGACATGCCTATATCCAGCAGTAGCCATTGATGTGATGTGATGCGCGATAAACCCAGAGGTCTCTCTCTTAGGGGCTCAAAGGCCGACTTCTTGAGTTGCAGGCATTCACGAGTGGCGGTAATCACTTACCTTCAGTTGACCCATCTGCTCGTTTGCCACCTGTACCACGAAAAAATATATCCCTAGTTGCGCGGTGGCAGATTCGACATATCGCTGTAGTCTTGTTCTATTTCCGTTGACTACAAATTCACTTACACGTATTTACAAAACAACATGAATGTGTATCCGTGTTCTAGTATTCACAGTACAAGCTATGCATAGTTTGAGTCTAGAAAGCGACGTGTTTTATTTCACAGAATAATAGATTCCTTTTTTTAAAAGACAATTCCCGCAATATATATACGAGTAATGTGTCGCGGGGGACTTTACAAACATACATGAAACGGACACATAGAACACCTAGACTCAGAACAACAATTTGTGTATCACACAAAGTGTTGTCCCATGTGGGGATCGAACCCACAATACTCAGCGCAGTAGGAAGCGGTGTGGCGACGGCTTAAACCACTACGCCATCCGTGAAGTCCGCAGGTTCGTGAGACCTGTCACCCCCTGAGTCCTGGGGTTCAATTTTTTTTGGTTACAAATGATGAATAATGATATCACAATGAGTAAACAGAACATTTTACCGATAAAATGTAATAAATACGGTCAAAAACTGCAATGTAATTAATCGAGCACCCGAAGCGCGCGGGGCTTCCCCTCCGGCCGTCAACTTGTGTTAGTGTGTTTAATTGTTTGCACGGAATACATCTTAAGATATAAAAAAAGAAGTTTTACCGAGTTTAAGCGATACCAACCAAGGTCACTAAAACCTAGCAGCAATCGCGGTTGATTTGCAGTCATTTTTTGAAGAGTTCCGTTGTCTGTCTTCGAAACTCATCATTAGATCTACATGAAATTTAAATGAGACAATTTCGCAATAATCCCGAATATTTCAAACAAAAAAATAATCTTGAAAATCCGTCTTTGTATGACGGAGTTAGGACCGAACATACAAAAAAATATATAAACAATTGAGAATTGAGAACATCCTCCTTTTTGAAGTCGGTTAAAAAGAAGTGATCTCTACTGTATTTACTAGAGAATAATGTGATCCTGCTAGTGAGCGATTGGGTTCACGTTGCAAGTCCACTGCTGGACATAAGCATCTCCTTGGAAATTAGGTTTTGGCCTACTATGCCAACGCTGACCAGACGCGTTGGTATGGGTTTGTTTTAAGTTTTCCATCTCTTTGTAGTGCCGTTGTCCTTCGTAGTTTGCTCCCTTAGCCGGCTCTTACGACACCAATGGAATCAACAGAGATGGTTACACCTCGTATGCTTAATCCGTCGCCACACGGACAGTCCCCTATATCGTGAAATAATATGAATAACTCAGTTTACTTAGCATAGTTTGCTCCCTTACTCGGCTTTTCCGACACCCACGGGATGAATAGAGGTGGTGACACTCCGTATGCTTAATCCACTACTACGTGGTGTAGGCTTACATCGTAAAATAAAGAAAATAAACCAGTTTTCTTACTGTTTCACGACAATCTAAATAATACAAGTCTTTGCGTGGGAACCGTAATCAAACTACGAATTCCGTCACCAATCTTATCAGGAACGTTATGAGTTTTAGCTGTATGTGCGTCACTTGCCCATGTACTTTTGTATATGTATTGAAATTTCGAGTGTTTTCTTATCTCTTTCTACGAAAAGAGCACCAGCTCTGCGTATGAAAAACGAGCGTTCATCACATACTTTGCCCCCTTAGATGTGAAATTGCCAAAAATCCTGTCTGGTGCTTAATTTACCAGCTATTGCCCGCGGATTCGCTCGAATGATTATTTATTACTAGGTGGTACATGCGACTTTATTCGCATGGAATTTGTAAAGTGGCTGCCTTAGTGGTGTACTACGGTACGGAACTGCAGTCCATGAAGCCTCGGGTTCGAATCCCGGACTGGGCAAAATTTTATAGGGTTTTTTGAGAGGAAAAATAGCCTAAGTTACTCCTTATAACGACAGCTACCTGGTAGTTAAATATTATCTAAATCGGTCCAGCCGTTTTGAAGATTACCCGAAACAAACAGACAGACAAATAATATTTAAAATGGTTTTTAGCCATAGGTAGCGTGCAAATAACAGCATGAGCACGTAAACACCCATTATTTTGACATTCCAAACAGACACTTCAATTTTATTTATTTGTATAGATTTCGTGTTTCTCACACAACCCTATATCTCTTATTTTACCTCTCTCGGTGTGTGTTGGTCAACCATAGTGATACCAGGGCCTCATAAAAAAAATATACATAGGTGGAAAAGCCATGCAAGGATTGCCCGCCTCTACCGCAATACCATAGCCTTATTGAAAACCGAGTTTAAGCAATTCCTCACCGAATGAATGAGGTTACTTGAGTCCAAACCGCCCACTGCTGGACATAGGCCTCTCCGCAGAAAGGAGGTTTTGGCCTACTTTATCACGCAGGCCAGACGGGTCGGTATAAGGTTTGTTTCAAGTTTTCCTTCTCTTTGCAGTGCTGTTGTCCTGCGTAGTTTACTCCCTTAGTCGGCTCTTACGACACCCACGGGATGAATAGGGATGGTGACACTCCGTACTCTTAATCCGTCACCACACGGACAGTCGATTATCGCTGTAAAAAGTAGCCTATGTTACTGTAAGCTTGCCATAAAACCTAAGGAGAGGCTGAACGGTCGAATGGGTCTGGATCAAATTTAGCACAGAGATAACTCTTAGTTTGGTTTAGTATATTGGTTCCTTTTTCACAGAAAAATTCATTGATATAATCGACATTGACGCGAGCAAAGCCCCAGGTATACGCTTGAATTTTTTTTTCAATACTTACAGGTACTAAATGAATGCTGGCTGTGTAATAAAAAAAGTACTTAGTACAAAAACGTATTTTTTAATATAGACATTTCAAAGAGGTCAATACAATAAAAAAAAAAGAAATTGTTTAGTCATTATGGTCGAACACGTGTAAGTACTATATTGTCTGTGGTATATTGTCTGCGTTAAAGGTACCCCAAGTACGGGACGTTATTGATTTTTATAAGCAGTTGGTTTACCAACATTAGAGTAGCTCACGATTATATATCTCTCTCGCTCGCACTCGGCGTATAACTTAATAAGTGGTCATAAGTTATGTTGTCCCGTTGTTTTTGCTTCGCAAAGGGTCGTTAGATGTTTTTGTTAGACTAAAGTAACATTTGAGAATGCATTTATATATTTTGGTTTTAAAGTATGGGTTACGGAGTGTGATAACATTGTAAAGTTAAGAAATCCTGGCCAGGTCAGTATATGGATGGGTGACCATTCTTAACACATTAAGACTCCTCCGTGCCTCGGAGATCACGTTGAGCCGTCGGTTCCGGTTGCCATACGAACATCTTTGACAACCTGGTACCTACTTGGGTTGTGGGGGTCTGATGGCTTTCGCTCCGCGTAAAAAATCTTAGTAAGGCATATCGTAGTAGACTTAATCCGATAAAGCCGATCCCAACCTAGTTTGCTATAAAGGCTAGGAGGAAGCTTAAAACCCCTTAAAGTCCTTCACAGCGGAGATATTCAAGCTTTACTGAATTCTTTAGTAAATTACTGTGCCATAAATAACATTGTTTTTTTTTCTTTTCAGGTATATAACCACAGTACCAGTATTCAAACTTAAAATATATACAGTCTAGTCTAAAAAGTTTCTACTTAAAATTTAAAAAAAGTATTCAATTGTACTTAAAATTAAAGACTTATATTTTACTTTTTAGTATTAAATATACACCTGTGATAAATGTTTTGAGGACTTGTGAAACGGCAATTTTTTTTTATAAGTATATTTGGTAATTTGTAATTTACGTGGAATTGTGCAATTTGGAAAAATTAGGTAAAGTGTATTGCCAAAGATATATTATGCTAAGATAGGTTAGTGTTGTGAAGTTCTAAAAGAAAGATGGCGCTGCCTCCGCAACAGTTCTGCGTCAGGTGGAATTCCTATCACACCAATTTACAGGTATGTTTACGAAAAACTTTTATAACTATTCGTTTAGTAGTTTTTGAGTACAGTTTTTTTAAAGGATATACTATTTATTAATTGAATATACAGATACAAATATCTATTACTTTCTATCTATCAATAAAAAAATGTTAAGTTGGTTTGTGTACGCTTTAAAAACACAAAAAGTTCTGCACCGATTGGGCTCAAATTTTCGGCAACGGCTTCAAAGAACAAAACGGACAACAAGAACAAAACAAACGGCAACAAAACAAACGGCTTTAAAGATGGTTTTATCAATTTCTCGCACCCACCATGTGCTACGGCGAAGTGTGGCAGGGTACAGTTAGTTTAATATAGTTTTTTTTGTATAGTCTCGAAAGTTGAGCCTATTTTACTACTCCGTATGCATGTAATGCTTGCACCCAGGGCAATTCGAAGCGAAGATCGTGAGAGTCGTAGTCCTGTGTACACAAAAAAAATCTCCTGAGTTAAATCTGGATCGCCCTTAGCTTTCAGTTAACATAGTTTATCCAGGATCCTGTATATGTACTAACTTGCATGTGAGATTTATCCTGGGGGCTACCAGAAAAGATCGTAAATTTGCCTGAAGTGCAGAAAACCTATCTTTTTTGTAAATAGTGAAAAGAATTTTTATTCGTTTTATTTCGTTTTTTTATGATAAATGAGGCAACCGAGCAGACAGGTCACAGCGAACCCTCCAGAATAGGGGTAAAGGGGTTTGTCCTTTTTCTTTTTACGTGTGGAAACCCCACCGGGGTTTGCGATGGGCTGGTGTGTCGAAATCGGCCCGACTAAAATCACAAGGTATGCCACTCTGCGCCTAAAATAGGAGGGATGCGGGAACAGCTGCTATTAAGACATCCGGACCAGAGGAGTGTGGTCTCCGATAATCCCACTTACTCGGTGAAATGCAACGATAGCGTTGCTTAGCACTGGTTTTTTGTGAGACCGTGGTATCACCCTGGTCGAGCCGGGCCATTTGTGCAGAAGCCTGGCTCTTCCACAGTCGTTTTATTATATTTCTACTAAAATATAATTTACAGCAAGTCTTGTATTTGAGTACTGATTACAGCAACGACCTAAATAAGCAACAAGTTTTTATTTTTATTTTCAGGCTGTATTCCCTCGGCTTCTCCTCACGGAACAGTTCGCTGACGTCACGCTGGCCTGCGAGTCCAGACAGCTGCGATGTCACAAGCTAGTTCTATCCGCCTGCTCCGCCTACCTGGAGAGGCTCCTGCTACAGAACCCCTGCGAGCATCCCATCGTGTTGATGAGGGATATGAGGTACATTTTATTCAAGCCTTTTAACTGATCAGTGACAAGAGAAAATATATATTTTATTTTCATCTATTCATCCCGTGGGTGTCTCAAGAGCAGTCTAAAGAAACAAACTACATAGAACAGCAGCACTGCAAAGAGAATGTAAAATTGACGCAAATTCAAACACAAAAGGCCAAAAACCTCCTTTCTAAGGCCTATGTCCAGCCGTGGACTACTAAAGGACTACCCATCTACCGGGTTCAACTGTGAATCTTACCTTCTTAAAAGCTACCCACAAAAATTAAATCATAATCAGATCAGTGATTTAGGAGTTCAATAACACACACATAGGAGAATTATGTGTAGGAGATTATTCTCTTATGCTCATCTTGCAGGCTTTTTCCCAAACTAGGCTGTGGTCTACTGCAATACGGCTGAACTCTGTTTTTCTACGTGAAGCGACTGCCATCAGACCTTCACAACTTAAGTTCTAGGCGATTTCGTAGTTCTGTAGAAAGACTGAATAGGAGATTATTCTCTATTTATTCTAAAAAAAACTGCCGTTTTTTATGGTATAAGGGGGCAAATGAGCAGACAGGTCACCTGATGGTAAGCAGCTACCGCCGCCATTGACACCTGCAACTCAAAAGTCACAATTGCGTTGCTGCCTTTGGAGTCCCTCCCGCTCGAGTCAGCGGATTTGGGCTCCGGTAACCTCAATCAGTGAAAGGCAACGAAAGAATTGCTTAACTCCGGTTTTCTGTGAGACCGTGGTATTACTCAGGACGAGCCTGTCTATTCGTGCCGAAGCATGACAGATTGTTTAGTCTTTTTAGCAATCGTGGTTAGATCGCTAACAAAAATTGACCAACTAATAAATTTATAACTTGTATATATTTAACAGTTACGAGACATGAATATGGTATATAGAGATTAAAAAATGTTCATAAAATAATATATAATCAACTTAAATGAAAACTCCTAAAAAGGCCGTACACAAACTAAAATTATATCATCCAAGTAAACAATAATATTCATTAAAAATGTTCATAAAATGAAAACTACCGGGCCTAACTATGTTAAATTTTTATGGGACCAAATGGCAACTATTCCGCATCAAACTAAAGAAGAATCACGTAAATCGGATCATAAATCTCAGAGTAATCGGTGTACATACATAAAAAAAAATACCAATCGAATTGAGAACCTCCTACTTTTTGAAGTCGGTTAAAAATGTCTGATATTAATTCTATACTCTGTTAAATAATATGTATTTGTTTACAGATTTAGTGAGATGCAAGCCTTAGTAGACTTCATGTACAAAGGCGAGGTGAACGTCACACAAGAGGAATTACCCAGTCTTCTAAAGTCGGCCGAAGCGTTGCAGATCAGAGGTATTCCATTGTTTTAACTGTAGCACATGGTCCTTCGAGCTAACATTGTAGTGCCTCGAAGGGCCATGTACTATATGGATTTTTGTTATTTAGACAATAATTTTTCTGAATTTTAGTAAGTTATTAAGCATATATTTAAATAGATAATTGTATTGCGTATTATGATTGCCACTTGGCGATCTCTTGTATAAATGACTAGCTATTTATTTTATGTTTCTCCCTTATTGTACCCCATTAGGGATGAAATATTAAAAAAAATCTTTCTTAGCGGGTAGTTACAAAATAAAACGCATCACTTGCCAAAATTTAAAGTTTGTAGCCCGGCCAGGGCAAGTCATTTTATATGTATAGATACATCATCCATCATCACATCAACAGCATTTAATAGTCCACTGCTGGGCATAGGCCTCTCCTTAGAAAGGAGGCTTTGGCCTACTATACCACGCTGGCCAGACGGGTTGGTATAGGGTTTGTGTCAAGTTTTCCTTCTCTCTGCAGTGCTGTTGTCCTGCATAGTTCGCTCCCTTAGTCGCCTCTTACGACACCCACGGGATGAATAGGGGTGATGACACTCACAATATGGTATATACATGGAAGCTGTTTATTCTCCAGGGTTGTGCTCCAGCGACACATCTAACCTGACGTCAGACATGGGCAAGACACGGGACACCAAGGACTTCACGGTAGCCAGCGAGGCTCTGGTAGCCAATGCGCAGCGGGACAGCGCTGCTAGCGCCAACACCAACGGTACGTGACCCTTAACCGCCCAGTCACACCGAAGAACAACAGACCTTATATGCCTGGTCGTCTAGATATATAGCATTGAGTGAACCGTAATTTTTTTAATGTCTAAGGTGGCAAACTAGTTGATGGTAATTGACTATCGTTGCCGCCCTTAGGGTCCTTTCCGTTCTAGAAGACTGGGGGACTTATTTTTGGACACTTGGGGGTTGTCTTGTTTCTTCATATTTGAATGGGACCAAACGGTCAGAACCTGAATAAAAAAGTAATTTTAAAAGTCGGTTAAACAGATAGTTTCTTGTATCTCAGTCTATGTAGATCTGGAAGTTTTAATGAAGTGTCTGCTAATAAGTTAATTTCCTTACCCCCAGGTCCTACACCCCCACTGAAGTCAACCACGACTACCCCACCGCTGAACCCGGTCTCCCAGCACGCTCAACACAACGGCACCAAGAAGCGAAAGTCAGAAGAACGCGGCGACATCAAAGAAGAGACGGTAGAAGAAGATGGACTGTATTATGGTGAACTGGACCACGATAATTTGGAGTACAATGAGGTAAGTCGTATTTATATTCCCATTCCGCCATCTAGCGAAGACAAACCGAACTAACTGGTAACTGTAGTAACTACTTATCCTACGTCGCGCAATGAAAGTGTGCTATCCGTGTAGTGACCCTTTTTTTTTTTTTTTTTTTTTTTCCGTGCGGAAATCCCCTCGGATACCACCGAATAAGGGAGCAAATTACGCAGGACAACAGCACTGCGAAGAGAAGGAAAACTTGACAGAAACCCTATACCAACCCGTCTGGGCAGTGTGGTATAGTAAGCCAAAACCTCCTTTCTAAGGAGAGGCCTATGTCCAGCAGTGGGCGGTTTGGACTCTAGTAACCTCATTCATTTTGTGAGGAATTGCTTAAACTCGGTTTTAAATAAGGATATGGTATTGCTGCGGCAATCCTTGCATGGCTTTCCCACCTATGTATATTTTTTTATGAGGCCCTGGTATCAGTATGGTGACCAACACACACTGAGAAAGGATTTTTGGATCCCCAAAAGGGTAAAATAAGAGATGTAGGGTTGTATGGAAGTTTGTCTTCTATCTTCAAAGTTAGAAACACGAAATCTATACAAATATGATTGCCTGGTTTTTGGGGGTCTGTTTAAATATAAAAGTTAAATAGTGTGAAATAGATGATGAAAATTTGTAAGCGGGAGATTTCAGGCAGATTAAGTCGCAGCCACCAGCTGCTTGGATATCTCCCAGTTTCATTTAATTTAGATAAAAAAAAAGTTTTTTTTTTAAGAAAGCCTTTTTGTAATCCCATTTTTTTTTGTAATAATAATAATAAAAGTTAACTATAATGTCCTTCGCGCATTCTGTCCACGTCATCAAATTTCTGATTCCTGTAGTAATCTATTTAATATTTATCTCGTAAGGTTTGAAATAAATATTTATTTTCAATTGTTCCAGGACGACGAACCTGGAAAGCCTGGCAGCAGTCTTGGACAACCATCTGGTAAGCAAAATCATTTAATGTTACATTTAAAAAAGGAAAATAATTTATTTTTATTTTATTTTTTATTAAATAAATCAATGTTTGTTTGCAATGTGACTTCCCTCTCGTCACTTGCTTTTCGTTTATTTATTTTTAATTTTTGTACAATTTTTTATAAAAAGTATTCCTATTGGATTTAAAATGTTTGACCTTCGTTTAAAAAAGAATCGTCCATAGATAAGTGTGTGGGTGAAGATCATATTGTGAATGGACATTGTCGATGAAATAAAAAAAAATGTCTGTAAGGTAGGCCAAGTTTTTTTATTATCGAATTGGTAGTAATTGTATTTTTAGTAAAAATTATTAATAAAATTGAACCATGAATGATAATCGTTAGTGTTGCCAGACCAGAAAATTAAAAACGTATCGATTTTATAATATACTGCAACAAAACTTAGAAATCGATTAAAAATAAGTTTTTATTTTTAGGTTAGGTGTAAAGGTTATCTTACAGACATTTCAGTCATAATTTTAACTTTTTCTACCATTCATGGTTCAAGAGGTTTACCCATTTCTCTATACATTTAATTCTTTTTTTATTTTTAGGCCGTCGTCCGTATCTACGCGTGAAACCAGAGAGTGAACTTTTCTTTCAAACTAAATTGCAGAATTTAGCGAAAGCTAATTCTGAATACATTAACAGACTGTCAAAAATGAATGCAAGCGAAATACGCAACGAATTTTCTAAATACGGCTTTAATACAAATACTAGTGATGAGACGTATCTGCAAAAAGCCACAGAAAAGTCAGAAAATGATTATTACAAATCCTGGCTGGAACAAAATGGGGAGCTAGAGGTGTCCCTCTTAAAAGCTAGCCAGATTAAAAAACCAAAAACTGAGACCAAAAGCCAAAAATCCGAAGTTGAGCTTATACCAAAGACAAAGGATAGTGTTGCCAGCAAACAAATTTTGTCCAAATTGGGAGAAAAATCTCAAATGCGGAGAAGGGGACGACCACCCATATTTAAAGATAAGAACGTAGACATCGGGGAGACTGTGCTCAAGTCTGACCTAGATCAATTTTTGGAGGGAAAGGAAATCAGTTCGTCGGGGTTGTCGCGTAAGGATTTGGAGAGGGTTATGATGGGAAAGTTTAACCCTAACAGGCGGTATTCCAATGAGGCTATGTGGGCAGCGCTCATGGATGTGAAAAAGGGAGGCAGTATATATCGGTAAGTAAGTTTTTAAGACTTTTTTCTTCCAAATATTTGAATAATTCACATTAAGGCCAAGCTCGCCCGCATCAGCCAAGACCTTACAGAAAACCGGTGTTAAACAGTTCTAACATTGCCTGTATCGAGTGAGTGAGGTTACTGGATCCCAAACCCTTACCCTGATTTTCGGGGTTATCATCATAGTCCACTGCTGGACATAAGTCTCTCCTTAGAAAGGAGGTTTTGGCCTACTTAACCACGCTGACCAGACGGGTTGGTATAGAGTTTGTGTCAAGTTTGCCTTCCCTTTGCAGTACTGTTGTCCTGCGTAGTGTGCTCCCTTAGTCGGCTCTTTCGACACACACGGGATGAATAGGGGTGGTGACACTCCGTTTTTTTTTTTTAAGGTATAAGGGGGCAAACGAGCAGACGGTCACCTGATGGTGAGCAACTACCGCCGCCCATGAACAAATGCAACTCAAAAGTCACAAGTGCGTTGCTGCTCTTGAACTCCCTCCCGCTCGAATCAGCGGGAGGGGGATTTGGGCTCCGGTAACCTCACTCATTCAGTGAAAGACATCGACCACACGGACTGTAAATTTTGAGTTAAAGTTATAGATGGATAGATAGAACTCTTTATTTAGTGGTTAGTGACCCTGACTGCTAAGCCAGAGGTCGTAGGTTCGATATCCACCCAGGACAAATATTGTGTGATGAGCACGGTCATTTGTTCTGTGTCTGGGTGTAATTTATCTATAATATGTATGTATTTAAAAATATATAAGTATGTTTATCAGCGGTCTGGTTACCATAGTACAGGCTCTGCCTAGTTTGGGATCAGACGGCCGTGTGTGAGATGTGTAAGATATATTATATTATATTATATATTATATTTGTACACCATTTTACAAGAAGCATGATAGTTACATGAAAGTGTTAGATATACAATGTACAAAGGGCGGCCTTATTGCTAAGAGCAATCTCTTCCAAGTTATATGTAGGGCGTTCATAAATTTTGTTTATCTCGAGTATGCAATTAAGTAAAACAATAAAATAAATACGAGTATATGGACCTTACTTTTCATATTACAGAGCTGCGCAAACACACAAAGTGCCTCGAAAATCCTTACGTAATTGGATGAAGCGTTGTCACATCAAATCCTCCTTCCCAATGCCTCAGCAACTGAAACAATTCGTCGAAAACAGCAAGAAACAGAAAGAATATAAAAACTTCGATGGTTACCAGCCCTTGGAAACCCAGAATTACGAAAAGAGTGGTACAGAAACTGAGGCTTACGAACCTGAAATGGATTTTGGAAAGCATTTCCTGACATTTACGAATTCAAATGTGTCTAGTGAGGATGAAAGGGAAACGCAAAATAATGATGGGAATATTGGCGAAGGGAATGGGGGAGATGCGCCCGAAACTGGTAACTCCGCTCTTGATATGTCATTGCACGAGTAACTTGTTATTTTTTCCAGGTTTCGCGGTTTTTTTTAAATATTTAAACGTGAAAATTATGATTTGTCTTAAAAAGGTTATAAAATACCTTCAATGTAACTTAGAATTGACAGACAGATTTGACAGAACATTGACAGTTGACAGTCAAAGGTTGCGACCAAGCAATTGTTTTTAATGCAAATCCAATTTTGAAGTTTTACTTAAGGATTTTTTTTTGTTAAGGACTTGATGTTATTAGGATTATTATTAATAATTATTAATGAAAATTTACTATTGTAAGTGCGTTCGTGTCTTGTAGAATTGTGATTGGAGCTTGACATACGGACTTTTTTTATAAATATTGGGCCTTAAAGCCGGTATACGAAATATTTACTGCCAAAGATAAGCAAAGATTTAAAAAAAAACGAAAAGTTTTTAATTTATAAAATTATTAAAAAAAACGATTATTTATTACATGCAAAGATTAAATTCTTTTTATTTAACATTAAAAGAGCTAAATGAAGATTTGGATATGAAAATAACGTTGGTGTGATTTAAAAATGCAATTTATTAAATAATTTATATATATTAATTATATAAACATTAAGCGATATTATTAACAGACCTGGGAGGGTTAAGTGTCTCTGAAATCTAGACTGCATACAGCCAAGCACGGGCATGCAAAGCCACTGGCCCTGGAAGGATAGGGAGAGGGGCGAAGGAAATTAAACACCAAAGCCTATGAAAATAAGCACACAACTACCAGCCCACCCATGAGCCAGGCTTCACAACCCTGTCTAGAAGCTGAATATAGCTTTTTTTAAATTAAAAGTCAATCCAACACATGAAAGTGTCATTTATTCTCCCCCCTCCCCTCTATTCTAAGGGGGGACGCAGGGAAGTATCTTCAAGCAACGTGATATCCAAATCTTCACATATAAATGCTTGACTTTTTATCATAAAGCTCTTTATTAGTAATTAGTTGAAACATATTCCTATTTTAATTTGTTTTGCAATAATTTTACCCAAAGATAAAAATTTCTTAGATAGAATTATATTAAATGTCTCAAATATTTTATAACAATTATATAAAAATAAAACAATTAACATATTTGTGGGGACCGCGTCTCGGCAAACGGCTTGCGAAAGATGGCTGGCAGGAGCTGGATGCGAGAAGCCCAAAATCGATCTAAGTGGTGTGCTAGATGCCTATGTCTAGCAGTGGACTGCGATAGGCTGATAATGAAATATATAACAGTTATATCATCACCGGCCATTAAAAGTCCACTGCTGGACATAGGGCTGTCCTTAGAAAGGAGGTTTTGGCCTACTATACCACGCTGGCCAGACGGGTTGGTATAGGGTTTGTGTCAAGTTTTCCTTCTCTTTGCAGCGCTCTTACAGTTTTATAATTATATATAATAAACTGTGGTGCAACAGATGTGACAAAAAGTAGGCCAAATTTTGAACTCCTGAGCCAACAATGGCCTCCTGTTAGCTCCCATAAGAGTTAACAAGTTGAAGAAAAGGTTGTATCACACGCAACCAAAAATTACAACAAATGAACCCCTACTTGTACTCGCTTTTAAGATCACTTCTGCGCTCCCAAGTGCTAAAAGAATGTTTCAAACCCGATGTGTACTTTTTGAAACAACTGTGCTTAAACGAAAAAAAAACTTTCAATAGATTATGACAAAACTTCATCCCTACAGTTTGACAGAATAAATCCACGTTAAATAATCAGAAATATTGAAAATAAATAGTAGACGGGCGTGTTGGTCTAGTGGTTAGCGGCCCTGATTGCTAAACCGGAGGTCGTGGGTTCAATTCCCACCCAGGACAAATATTGTGTGATGAGCACGGTCATTTGTTCTGTGTCTGGGTGTAATTTATCTATTATATGTATCTATTTAAAATTATATAAGTATGTTTATCAGTAGTCTGATTATCATGGCACAGGGTCTACTTAGTTTGAGATCAGACGGCCGTGTGTGAGATGTGTAAGATATATATAAAAAAATGCGTCATGTTTGAGTGCAATGTTGCCAATTTATGATATATATTTATTCCCTAAAAACGAGGAAAAAATATTCCTCATGTTAAAAAATATTTGAGACGTTGCCATTATTATTATTATTTATCGTAAGTTGTCGTCGTTATATGCTTGTGTAATTAATTAGTTTTTAAAATTATAATTACATTATATTATTAATATTAGAAAATGAAATGATTGGCCTTTTAAAAAAATCGAGTGCTTGTAGGACTTCGTCCAGTTATATATAAAGAAAAGACTTAAAAAATTAAATTTTTAGCGTATTACAATATAAATAATATTAAGCTTAATTTATGGGGTATTGGTTACTTTTGCCACTACCATAAAAAACTATCACCCATGTAAAAAAAAATGTATCATTGTTTTCTTAAGGCACCAATAAATCTTAAAAAAAAACGGTTTCAGACACTGCCAAGTTAGAAAATTTGAAAAAATATGCTCCTGTAATTTAAAACGTTATATATTGGCGAGTTTAATGCTTGGAATTCGAACCTAACCGTAGCGAGAGACAGACATATTAAATATTCCAATAATCTGATGAAACAAGAAAGTAAAGAGACGAGGGAGGGACGGGGCCTACATTATGATGCTGAGTTGTTTGCCTTTATAAAAATGGTGGACACAATATTGCCAGAGCAAAAATAACCAATGCCACATACGTATATTAAAACGGCTTAAAATAAATTTGTATTAATTTATTTATACATATGTATAATATATTACTGAATGTACTTAATTAGTCTAAACGTTTTGTTGGGCATTGATAATTGTGAGATTTAAAAAAAATTGGCTATTATATGTATTTTACTGAATTTTATTGCAATTGGTGGGTAAAATGTAATGGTATGGCGTTATAATGAGTTTTTTATTCAAGTGAAACTGACGTCACGTTTTAAATGTTAAATATTAAAAAAACTACTACATTACCTGTCATTACTATGTTTACTCATTACCTCTGAATTGGAGCGAAAAAAAGCAATAACGTCAATTTGAAAAAAACCTTTTATTTTAAAATTTTATACAACTACCCTCATGGTATATAATTTTTGAAATGCCTTAATAAGCCGAATTCAGGATTCTTCTTATAGATACTCCATCGGTAGCTCCAAGATTGCCATTAGAAGACCAATTCTCGTAAAAGTTTGGTCAACATTCAGTTCCGATCAATTCTTGTTCTCTTCTTTGCAGTGCTGTGTCCTACGTAGTTTGCTCCCTTAGTCGGCTCTTACGACACACACGGGATGAATAGGGATGGTGACACTCCATATTCATAATCCGTCAACATACGGATGAGTTAATTACTATGAACTGAACCAGTTCATCCGTGATCATGGCGTTTGCAACTGTGCTGATAATCATTTATCATTTTAAAATGACCATGATAATTTAAATCAATTATTAAACATTACTTTTATAGCGCGTGAACTTTGAATGTCGGTTTTTTTTTTAATTCTTTTGGTGATAAAAAAAATGCAATTCGACGTACTATTCTACAGGTTTATACGTGATTTTGGTAAATAAAATACTTAGCAAATATACTAAAAAAAAACTTAAATATTCAATTATAAAAGTGTCCAGTTTCTTGAAAACAATCCTATATTATATTGTATCTGCGTTCCTATGAAATATTTTTTTTTTATTTTAGTCCCTATTTTCTTATATACGTGTTTTGTATATTATTCATGGGTATATTATATATTACACAGAAAGAAAAAAAAACATATAACTATGGGCTCACACATTATGGTAGAAAATGGATTTAGATAGTTTTTGTTGTACTAGTTTGAACGCGTTTAGCGTCTCTTAAAGAAATCGAATTCTGAAGTTTTGTTTGTCTATTTTCAAATTGGAACTGAGGTAAATATAAATTATGCAAGTCCTCGTATTGTGCAGGACTAAAAAAATTATATGTCCTTATTATTTCTAAATTTTGAAACAAAATATTAACTGTCAATCTTGACAGCAACGTGGTATGACGTCATAACACGTTATTTTCTACAAGTATGTAAAAGATCGTTTGTTTTTTGACGTTTTACAAAGAGAATGTGATTTGACTTGAGAGTCCATTTACGTATTGTCGGTAAGAACTCAAGGAGTCATGAAAAAGATCTTAAAATGGAGATTGTAGTTTTAAATTATTAAACAAACAAGATTAGAAAACCATGTAATTATTGTTTTTATATTGATGAAAACCCTAATTTGTACGTCTAAATGTATAAGTTTTTGTAATTTTGACAAACATTAGAGCGTGGTATTCATATTAATTAAAGACATTTAATTTTACTCAAGTATGGATAGCTGGCACGCGATTTACTTTTTTTTGCCGATGCGGAGGGATGATAGCTCTTAATAAACCCCTCCTCTGATATCCCCGAAGTACACATGTGAGTAAAACTACGTATTTTTATTTAATTCACGTACGTTTTAAAATCCTTAAACCCTTAATATTGCTATTGTTACATTACTATACAAGTAATTTATTTTACAATCATAAATTATTATTAAATTTCATATTAAACTGAATCACGATCGTCAAATCACCAACTTTACAATACTACATTGTGACGTCACAATATTGTAAACAAGAAAACTTTCAAAGTGTTGACGTTTAAAAAAAAACATGACATGTCAGACTTCAATATGACACATGTTCGTTATAATATACAAAACATGTAGACCCATGAAGTGCCTAGTAGTATATAAATAATATAAATAATAATATAGTTTTAAGTATGTTTTAGATGTATACATGGTATTAAAGCGCTATGGGCAAGTGCATTACTGATTGGGGATTGGTTTTGATCGCTGCAGTATAAATTAAATACTATTTTCAGCTGTTTTCATGAGATCCCAAGGTCAAGATTTTTATTCAATCGAAAAGTAGCAAAAAACGAATTAAAAAAAATTAAGTTATCATTTTACGCCATGTTGCTTATTCGCCGTGACGTCATGTGGGTAGTAAAATCATACT